GCTTACAGTTCAGGAAATCAAGTAAATTAAGTGCATGGACAATTTCCACTTCAAAGAGGGAAAAATTTATACTCTGTTAATATACCAAAATAACTTTAGAAAACATAATCTTTCTTATGGCAAATTACTGGAAAGCATTTAATATAAAACTTTTACAAATTAAAAGCAAAAACAAACAAAAACTTACCAATAAGAAAGTTAGCAAAAGAAAGCCAAGAGAGGATATAAAGGGCAATTCACAGAAACACTGTAGTACATAAAAAAGGATGTTCCATTTCACTTGCAATCAAAGAAACACAAATACAGACACATATATGGTACAGAAGAATTACAGTATCTGCACTTCTTACCAACAAAAGCATCAACAACCACATTCTGCTAGGTTGATTTTGCAGTACTGATAAACTGAAAATTAAGTGTTCATAAGCCAACCTACCAATTACACTTCTACAAATTAAAAAAAAAAAGCAACAATTTATACATATATTCAAAACATGATATTCGTCAAAAGATATGTGGAAGGATGCTCACTCCAAGCATTGCTCATTAACAGCCAAAAAAATAAACGCCTACCACCAGTCAGGACAGGCAAAAAAAAACTTACAATCCATTCACGTAAGAGAAAACAATGCAGCCATTTCACATAAATAAAAACATAGCTTTAAATGTAATAATATAGACATGTCAAAGCTTCTCTAAAAGGAAAATACGACTAGAACATAGCATGATTCCATTTTCTTTCTTTTTTTTTTTGAGACTGAGTTTCACTCTTGTTACCCAGGCTGGAGTGCAATGGCGCGATCTCGGCTCACAGCAACCTCCACCTCCTGAGTTCAGGCAATTCTCCTGCCTCAGCCTCCTGAGTAGCTGGGATTACAGGCACGCGCCACCATGCCCAGCTAATTTTTTTTTTTTTTTTGAGACGGAGTTTCGCTCTTGTTACCCAGGCTGGAGTGCAATGGCACGATCTCGGCTCACCGCAACCTCTGCCTCCTGGGCTCAGGCAATTCTCCTGCCTCAGCCTCCTAAGTAGCTGGGATTACAGGCACGCGCCCCACGCCCAGCTAGTTTTTTGTATTTTTAGTAGAGACGGGGTTTCACCATGTTGACCAGGATGGTCTCAATCTCTCGACCTCGTGATCCACCCGCCTCGGCCTCCCAAAGTGCTGGGATTACAGGCTTGAGCCACCGCACCCGGCAATTTTTTGTATTTTTAGTAGAGACGGGGTTTCACCATGTTGACCAGGATGGTCTTGATCTCTTGACCTCGTGATCCACCCGCCCCGGCCTCCCAAGCTGGGATTACAGGCTTGAGCCACCGCACCCAGCCCATGATTCCATTTTCATTCTTTATGTACTTCTCTAACAGTGGGAATATTTTAAAAAGCATTAATATTCACCATTTTTGTAATTTAAAGATAATCTATTACAAACGGAGCGAGGAATGTACTAGGATGGACAAAACCTCAAAGTGGTAGAAAACCAACAAAATGTTACTTCTTAGTAAACATTTTTTTAAAAAGTTTTAATTATATGTAAAACACAGGCCAGGAACCATGGCTCCTATCTGTAATCCCAGCACTTTGCCAGGCCGAGGTGGGCAGATCACCTGAGGTGGGGATTTCAAGACCAGCCTGATCAACATGAAGAAACCCCACCTCTACTAAAACTACAACAACTTAGCCAGGTGTGGTAGTGCATGCCTGTAATAATCCCAGCTACTTGGGAGGCTGGGGCAGGAAAACTGCTTGAACCTGGGAGGTGAAGGTTGTGGTGAGCCAAGACTGCACCATTACACTCCAGCCTGGGCAACAAAACTGAAAGGCCATCTAAAAAGAAAAAACAACCCAAACACAAAGATCAAATTGAAAAATTTTATAAACATGTTTCAACATACCAATATATTAAAATACAGACAAAAAAAGAATACATTAAATGCAGAAAAAAACTTGATGTATCACTGATATAAGTAAGACTTAAATTCTGCCTGTTCAGAGAAAGTGATTCATAAACTGCCATTCTGAAAAATCAAATTTAAAATCTAAGATCGGGCCAGGTTCCATGGCTCATGCCTGTAATCCCATCATTCTGGGAGGCCGAGACAGGCGGATCACTCGAGGTCAAAGTTCCAGACCAGCCTCGCCAACGCCAACGTGGTGAAACCCCATCTCTACTAAAAATAGAAAAAAAAAAAAACATAGCTGCGTGTGGTGGCAAACACCTGTAATCACAGCTACTTGAGAGGCTGAGGCAGGACAATCGCTTGAACTTGGGAGGCAGAAGCTGCAGTGAGCCGAGATGGCACCACTGCCCTCCAGCCTGGGTGACAGAGAGAGACTCCATCTCAAAATAAACAAACACAAGTAAATAACAAATAAATAAAAGTTCAAAATACTTATGGTTCAAAAATAAAGCTTTTTTGTATTTGCAGCCCCAGCTGTTGCACAAAAATAAAATTTTAAAAGAAAAATGCTCAACCACTTAATGACTGTTCAAATCATTTTCTGAAGTAGGTGAATGACCTCTTACAGATTAAGAAATTACAAATGTTTATATTTATGTCATAAATATACATAACATACAATTATACATTTATAATGTATGCATGATGCATGTATTTGTTTCTAGCCAAGCCGAATTTGAAAGCAATCACAAGTAAATTCGCTTAAAGCAGTTGTACAATTTGACCTGTTTCACCTTAATTTTTATTTCTGAATGATGGCCCTAACTTATTAAAATAAATGATGAGTCACTATAATGTCTAAGTACTATTTATACATATGTACAATTTATAAATAACCCTCAGAAGTATTCTTATCTTGAATGTATTTAGTTCAATAGTAAATCTTAAGCAACATGCTTCTAAAATATTATGTGGCTGCTGCTTGGATAACTGTGTTCAAAAATATTTTTTTTCTGAAAATTTTAAAAATTAATATTGATAAGGAAACATACACATATGGTTAAATAATTTAAACAGTCCAACAAGGTGCACAGTGAAAACAGGTCTCCTTCCCATCACAGGCCTTCAGCGGTAATTACCATAACTGATGAACCTCAAAAACAAAAGGCTGTGATTTCTCCCCCAAATATTTTTGTTAACGGACCCAAAAATCAAGGCATAAGGCATTTGATATTTTAAGCAAAATTCTTTTTTTTTTTTTTTTTTTTTTTTTTTTTGAGACGGAGTTTTGCTCTTGTTACCCAGGCTGGAGTGCAATGGCCCGATCTCGGCTCACCGCAACCTCCGCCTCCTAGGTTCAGGCAATTCTCCTGCCTCAGCCTCCCAAGTAGCTGGGATTACAGGCACGCGCCACCATGCCCAGCTAATTTTTTGTATTTTTTTTAGTAGAGACGGGGTTTCACCATGTTGACCAGGATGGTCTCGATCTCTTGACCTAGTGATCCACCCCCCTCAGCCTCCCAAAGTGCTGGGATTACAGGCTTGAGCCACTGCGCCCGGTTTAAGCAAAATTCTTAAAGCAAAAAACAGAAGAATATGATATACAGCAAACTGTTAATGGGATTATACTATATTTCAAAATCCTATGCAATTAAATATCCAAAGAATCAGGCCATTTAAGCTATATAAAAATACAATCTGAAACACCTTCAAAAATCATCTCTAACTCTATGAATTCACTGGTTAGAAAACTCACAATCTATTATATTTGGTATCACTGTTAACAGCCCAAGTTAATGTCAAACTAAATTGAACAATTGAACTTCACAAACACTTCTTCCCTTCAATAAAGGAAACCATGAAAATACAAAAATCCTGGCTGTGCAAGGTGTGGCTCATGTCTGAAGTAATCTCAGCACTTTGGGAGGCCAAGGTGGGAGGATCACAATGTCAGGAGTTCGAGGCCAGCCTGGTGAAACCCTGTCTCTATTAAAAATACAAAAAAATTAGCTGGGCATTGTGGCACGCGCCTGTGGCCCTAGCTACTTGGGAGGCTGAGGCAGGAGAATTGCTTGAACCTGGCAGGCGGAGGTTGTAGTGAGCCAAGATCACACCAGTACACTCCAGCCTGAGTGACAGAGTAAGAATCCTTTAAAAAAAAGTCCTTAAAAAATAAAATTTAAAATAAGAGAATATGAGACACAGTAACATTTCTTTAAAAATGTGTTTTACTTTTGTACAGAGTATCTTTCTGGTGTTTTTCACGTTTTACAAAGGGCCAAAAATGGTTACGTGTAACTAATATAAGCATTTACTTGAGGGAAAAGTAAAGACTCCACCAAAAAAAAAAAAAAAAAAAAGCCTAAACAAAAACTCACTAAAATTAACTTTCATAAACTCCTGTTTCATTTTAAAAGAAATGTGATTTCTCAATGATATAAAGGTTCTATATAAAGTATGAAGACATAACACCAAACATAAAAGAGAAAAGAAAAACCATTAAAATGTTTCTTGATGAATGAATGTTACATGGCCAGACTCTCTCTCAAAAAAAAAGTCCTAAAAGGATATAATTTAAAATGACAGAATATGCAACACAGTAACATTTCTTTAAAAATGAGTTTTACTTTTGCACAGAGTACCTTTTTGGTGTTTTTTTTATGTTTTACAAAGGGCCAAAAAATGGTTACCTCTAACTAACAAGTGGTTGAGGGAAAAATGGGGACTCCAAAAAAAAAAAAAACTAACAAAAACTCACTAAACTACTTTCATAAATTAGTATTTCGTTTCAAAAGAAATGTGATTTCTCAGTGATATAAAGGTTCTATATGAAGTATGAAGACACAGAACAGGAAAGAAAAACCATTAAAATGTCTCCTGATAAATGTATGTTTTCAACGATACCTTTAAAAAGGTGGTTCAAGTTTAAGAGGATGTAAATATTTTAAATAGTAAAAGTCATCCAGCACTACATGTCACTAGAAACAAAGAATCTATTCTAATGGATATTTCATTACCAACCAGATATCAAAACTAAAAGAAAAATTTACGATGTTCTGCTAAAAATTAAATTTTAAAAACAGTTTTAAGTGCATACCCATTAAATCCAGTGACAATTTTCAGTATTCTTTCCTTCATTTCATCAAAGGGAATATATTCGACATTAGGGTTGGGAGGACCTCTTGGCTCAGGAGCTGAAGTTCTGAAATCATCCATCACTTTCTCCAGTTTGAAAATAAAATAGCCTTTAAATTGGGACCACTGAATCCTATAAGCAAAAAATTAAAAAATATATAATACCATGTAGCTTTACAATTCTTGAACACAAAGCACAAATGTAGAATATACAACACTAATGCTAACAAAATTAGGAGATGAATAATTAGTAATGAGAATGCTGTCATTCAGGAGCATGTATCATGCCTCATTTACCTCACAAACTCCATCCTGATGCTATACAGCTCCCAAACCAAACAAAACCCAGATGTCTGACTTTAATCTTTTAAATGAACTACCTCTGCCTGAAAGTCTATGGTGTGTTAGGTCCTATTCTTACCATATTTAAAGCAGCATTTTGACTATCCGTCATAACAAACCTAACCAGGGAGGTGTTAGTTACTAACCTATTAAGTCAGAATGAATCCATAACTTCATCATCCAAGTTACAATGCTTACAGGGACTAGTAAAATTTGTCTGTTATCTGCTAAATAACAAAATAAACTACTTTCTCCTTTTTCTTTCCCTTTCAGTTAACATCTTCAGGCTCTTTTGTCACTTAAAAGACAAAAGTTATGTATCTATTCATTTATCAAATTAACATAAACACCTTTTTAATCCCTCTTTCCTCACATTTTACCACTAATATAAAGGGAATTTTTTGAGGATACATGCCTGAATAGTGTAAATTCCAGGTGACACAGGAGTCAGGAATGCTAACCATTTCCTCAGGCAGACAGTACTACCATTAGTGACAGTAGTTCAATCTCCTTACACAGGTTGACCACTCAACAAATTTACACAAATTAACAAGAGTGAATCTGCAATCACCTTCCATCCCATCCGGCAACCCTACAAACTAAGGCAGCAGTTTCAAATTGTGATCCAAAGCTACTGTCAAAACAGTAACGGCTGACTAGTTCACTGTTAATATTTGCACTCATGGTATAAAAGCAATGGTGGATAAAACATATACATTTAGCAAGAGTCAAGGCAGTAGCACCAAACTGTACACACAAACTGTATCATTACGAGCAATAGAAGCCATCATTTTCAATACCACAAACTCATAATTTAGAAAGTCTGTTTCACTTAAAGTAGAGAAGATATAAAAATTACTAATTTCATTAAATTCCAACCCTTGAATACACCTTAATATTCTGTGTAACAAAATGAGAAATATACATTAAAAATTATGCTGCGTATCAAAGAGGTACGCAGCTCTCAACGAACAATACCTTTATTTAGAGCTGAACTAGCTGCTATTTTTCATAGAACAGCATTTTTACCTGAAAGGACTGCCACACAAACTCATTTAGATTAGTAGACTGGGTGTGATGACTCACTCCTGTAATCCTAGCAGGTGATCACTTGAGGTCAGAAGTTCGAGATCAGCCTGGCCAACATGGTGAAACCCTGTCTCTACTAAATACATAAACATCAGCTAGGTGTGGTGGTACATGCCTGTCATCCCGGCTACACAAGAAGATGAGGCAAGGAGAATCACTTGAAGTCAGGAGGCAGAGGCTGTAGTGAGCCAAGATGGCACCACTGCACTCCAGCCTGGGCAACACAGCCAGACTCCATTCCCTACCCCCTCCAAAAAAAAAAAAAAAAAGTCTGGAAAATTTTTATTCTCCACTGTGAAAGTTTCCTGATATATTCCCAAGATATTCTGAAGGCAACCAGTGTTGACATAAAAATATTATGTGGGGCCAGATGTGGTGGCTCATGCCTGTAATCCCAGCACTTTGGGAAGCTGAGACATTAAGATCGCTAGGGCCCAGGAGTTGGAAGCCAGCCTGCGCAAACATCAATATCCCGTCTCTACAAAATAATCAATTATTAATTGATTTAAATTAGGCATGGTGGCATGCACCTGTATTCCCAGCTACTCAGGAGGCTGAGGCAAGAGGACTGTCTGAGCCCAGGACGTAGAGGCTGCAGTAAGGCAAGATCACACACCATTGCAATCCAGCCTGAGTGACAGAGCAAGACCCTGTCTCTTAATAAATATATGTGTGACACCAAAAGCACAAGTAACAGATAAATTGAGTTGTATCAAAATTAAAAATTTTGTGCATCAAAGGGATTATCAACAGAGTAAAGTCAAATTATGAAATGGGAGAAAATACTTGCAAATTCTTATATCTAACAAAGGGTTAATACCCAGAATACAGAAAGAACTCCTACAACTCAACAAAAAAGTCAACCCAATTTAAAAATGGTCAAAGTACTTAACTAGGCACGACTCCAAAGAAGATATACAAATGGTCAACAAACACACAAGAAGATGCTCAACACCATTATTCTTGGGGAAATGTAAACCCAAATCACAATGAGATACCACTTCATACACATCAGGGTTGGCTATTATCCAAAAAATAAGTGAACATGTATTGGCTGGCCAAGGATGGAGAGAAACTGAAACTCTTGTGCACTGTTGGTAGGAACAATGCAGTCACTGTGGAAAACAGTATGAATCCTAAAAAAAAAAAAAAAAGCAAATATAAAACCACTCTATGATTGAGCAATTCCATTTCTTGGTAGATCCCCAAAAGGTGAAAACAACCCAAATGTGCAAAAGCATATGAATGGATAAACAAAATGTGATACACACACACACACACACACACACAGAGGAATATTAGTCTTTAATCTGAAAGAAATTCTGACATGCTCCAACATGAATTACACCTGATAGCATTATGCAAAGTGAAATAAACCAGATACAAAAAAAACAAGTATTACATGATTCCACTTATATGAGGTATCAAGAATAGTCAAATCTTGAGACAGGAGTCTGGCACTGTGGGAAGAAAGCTGTGGGGACTTACTGTTTAATGTGTACAATGTTTCCGTTTGGGTAGACAAAAAGTTCTGCAGATGAATGATAGTGATGGCAGCACAACATTGTCAATGTACTTAATGCCTAATAAATTGTATGCTTAAAATAGTTAAAATGATATGGTTTACATTATGTATATTTCAACAGGTATTTCCCCACAAAGAATATACACAAATGGTCCATAAGCATATGAAAGTATGTTCAGCATTATTATCTATTAGAGAAATGCATATCGAAACCACAAGGAGTCACCCATTTCAACACCCACTAGGTGGCTGCAATAAAAAAGAGGAATAATAAGCAAGTGCTGCTGGGTTGCTGTGGGGAAACTGATAATGTCACACATTACTTGTGGGAATGTAAAACAGGGTAGCTGCTTTGGAAAATACTTAGGCAGTTCCTCAGAAAGGTAAATGGAGCCATGTAATCCAACAATTCCGTACTATTAAATGAGTGAATTCTGTATTTTACCATTAATACTTTTAAAACTGGTGAGGATGATTAAAAGCTATTTGCATGATTACTTTTTTCCTCCTTTCTCTACCCTATTTTAGAAAGGGGAATTTGAGGTTTAACAAGCAGATTTGCAGATCACAGAATTTTTGATATGTCTAATATTAATCCTGGTTAATACACAATTGCTTTTGGTTCCTAAAATTTATCTTTAAATTTTACTACTCCCCACATGCACTTTATACTTAAACATACCAGGGAAAGTTATACTGAAATAGAATGCTTATACTTTTCATTTCTTAATTATTTTTTGTAGCTTTAGCAGTAACCCACTTATTTGTAGTAGTTTGAGTTCAGATTTCCACATGCATCCGGTTTTGTGATGTGTTTTAATCTCATTTTTCCATTAACCATCTGACATGACATCTTTGAGGTCCAAAAAAAGCATACATTAATGGGAACAGCCAGACAAGAGGTATGGAGCCCCAGGTAATGGAAATTCTATGGGGCTTCAAAGACTTTATGGCACTAACTCCTGAAACAGAAATTAAACCCCATAAATTGACATGAATTATGTACACACTGTAGTCTAATTTTCAAATAAATCAAGCAGTTACTCTAAATAAGACCAATTCGATGCAATTCAAGTGATACTATGCCACAGATAGATGGGGGAGGGGTCTTTATAAAATGTGAGACGGCTTTTTGTTGGAGCACAACTATTTGATAAAAACAAAACCAGAAAATGCTTCCCTAAAAGTTACATAATTCAGTGGACAGACATGATGGCTCATACCTGTAATCCCAGCATTCTGGGAGACTGAGAAGGGTGGATCACGTGAGGTCATGAGTTTGGGACTAGCCTGGCCAACATGGTGAAACCCCATCTCTACTAAAAATACGAAAATTAGTTGGCGTGGTGATGCATGGCTGTAGTCCCAGCTACTTGGGAGACTGAAGCAGGAGAATTGCTTGAACCAGGCAGGTGGAGGTTGAAGTGAGCTGAGATCGCACCACTACACTCCAGTCTGGCAACAGAGCGAGACTCCGTCTCATTATTTAAAAAAAAAAAAAAAGTTATATAATTCAGGCACAAAAACAAGCCATGAGCAAATCAACTAAAAATTTGGCAACAAAAACAATTTTCTTAGGAATGTACACTCACTGGATGAGTAGGAATGAGAACAACAAAAAACCCTTCCTTTTCAATATGAAAATCAAATTATTCTAAACAGATGCTCATGAAACATAAACAAATTTTCAACCTCAGAAAAAATTTCTCCACATAAAATCCCCTCCAATAAAATACATACTCAAAATTTAAATTACTTTGCCAAAATTAACTCAAGAATTTACTGAAAGTCATCACTCATTAACTTTTTTAAGTAGCATCACCTCCCTTCAATTGCTTTTTCTTATTCCCTTCCACTGAACTTTTTTCTTCATAAGAACTCACAAGTCCATAATCCAAGTATATTTCTCTCACAACTCTCTGAAGTCTAAAGGTATTTTTTAGAGGCCTGAGGACAGAAAGATCATCTTTTCTTTTCCCAAGTGGTACTACAATTTTGTGGCCAATGGCCACCACCCTTAACTTACTGCTTCCTACCATTCCCAATTCTATTAAGAGTACTCTCTTCAGCCTAACTGCATTCCACACAAAATGTGAGGAAGACTTATAACACAAGCAAGCATAGGAGAGTCCTACTACTACTATTAGCTACTGCAAAGGATAGCAAATACTGCACAA